TTGGTGGGCTATGAAAAGCAGCTTTTCAGTGGCGCTGTGGGTTAAACCACAGAGCCTAGGACTTGCCGATCAGAAGGTCGGTGGTTCAAATCCCCGCGACGGGGTGAGCTCCTGTTGCTCGGTCCCTGCTCCTGCCAACCTAGCAGTTCAAAAGCACGTCAAAGTGCAAGTAGATAAATAGGTACCACTCTGGCGGGAAGGTAAATGGCGTTTCCATGTGTTGCTCTGGTTCGCCAGAAGCGGCTTAGTCATGCTGGCCACATGACCCAGAAGCTGTACACCGGCTCCCTCGGCCAATAAAGCAAGATGAGCACTGCAACCCCAGAGTCGGCCACAACTGGACCTAATGGTCAGGGGTCCCTTTACCTTTACCTTTACAGGCACAAATATGCTGAAACAGATGCTTCTATTTCATGCAAAACCTGAAGGCCTATCTTCACATTAAGATTTTAAGATGTGGCCATGTTTCTACCCCTATTCCCCTTACAAGGGGCTTTCTTCCCTAAAATCATAATGGGCAACATATTTCTATCCATCATCAATTACCTGCATGAAATCCATCAAGATCCAAAGGGTTACAGATGTGATAACCTACACATTTAATTTCCTGAATAAAATTTGCATTTTTTTATTGTATTTTTTGGTCCATGATGATCAAAATGATAGTCGAGGGCATGTTACTTTTATCAAATAGTGAGCCTTTCATTCAAATTATCACTTTCATGTTCCTGGGTAAAATTCAAACGGGCATGTTTCAAAATTATGCTGCTGCATAGTCATTTAAAAACCTCTATCACCTGCTCACAAAGCCAAGTCAATTTATGCTAATTCCTAAATTAATCTTCTCCATATACTCATCTCGGTTGTTGCGCTAATCTGTCAGGCAAGGGAATAATGATGCAATACCAAGCTCATCAGTCCTGGTAGAAGATGAGGAAAAAGTGATAGCCACACATACCAATGTACAGTAGCAACTGGAGTAGATTTTGATTATTTCACTACGTGGACTACCCTTCACAGTTTTTTTCCATGGAACACATTCTTTTGATTAATCTTTTGACATGGGTATGGCTCAGAAGGGCACAACCGTGCATTTAAAAATCATTGTGGAAAAAGGCTTGACTTGTTCTCATCAGAAACATGACTGTTGTCAGAGGCAGCTTTAAGTAATAGTTTGGCTTCCAAAAATCCCAAGCACTTTACTTTAAACAAGCCTTTACAACCTCATTTGCAGCATTAAAAGAGTGGAGAAGGGGGGAAATGGCTTAGGGTGAATAGCTCAATTGAAATAAAAAGTACAACTGAGCATAATCAAGCTCCATTCTACTTCCACTGTTGAACGCTGCCAGTGAAGATGAAAGTCTAGATTTTTGTTCGCCTCTGGGCAATTAGGTATATTTAAAATTTCTATGCAACTCATTTACACCTTTCTTGGATCAACAGGCTGCCCTTACATTTCATGTGCTGAACTCTGCTTGTATGTTGTATCAATACCAAACCTTTGCAGAAGACCCATCAACATTACTGAAGGAAGACTGAGCAATTTACCACCTATATCTTTCTTAGCACAGCTGTTAGAAGCTCTCTTAGGTAGAGAAATCCTAAGCTCCTGGAGAGGGTAGCTGAGGAGCTGCTCGATGCTGAGAGTTCAAAGATGGAGGAGGAGATCTACCAAAAGAGGCCTGCCTAGTTACAGAGGCAGAAAGATCTGCCTCCATTGCAGCTCTGCCATCAGAGCAGCAGAGGATGAAAGGGGGCAAATTAAAGAAGTCATTGGAATTGCAGGATACAAAGCCTTTTATTTCCCCTAATATGTTTTCTAAAAGGAAGGTGTCAGGGAACTGCCATCAGTGCCGGAGGGAGAGAGAGAGCTCCAGAGGGATCCCAGAGAGCGTCGCGGGATTGGGAGAGGCAGCCCATCTTCTGGGGAAGGGAATCAGCTCAGCTCCAGTGGAGAAGGGGGGCAGATGGGGGAATCTGAGAGGGAGTCACATGACTCCTTGCCTGGGACCAGTGGGGGGAGGAAGGGTCCTCCGCTGCCTACGCCTTCCTTGCGCAGAAGGCTTCCGCGCAGGGAAAGTAGGAGGCGACTGGGCGTGAAAGAACTTCTTTGCTGGAAGAAGTTTAAGAAATGCCCACTGACAGATTCTGCCAGCGATTGAGACAGCCACGGGTGAGTGGCTGTCCGGACAGAAAAGGTTCACTTAGGCAACCCAGCCAGGTGTGGGCACCGGCTTACGCACGAGCAACCCCTTGAACCACTACAGAAGGGAAACCATTAAACCATGAAGCTGGTTTAATTAATCTTCTACTTAATTTGGGAAGAGCCATAGCTCAGTTGTAGAGCAGCTACTTTGCATGCAGGAGGTCCCAGGTCTCTCCAAGTAAGGCTGTACTACTGTTGTCAAACCCTGTACTACTGCTGTTGGTCAGTGTTGAAAATACAGTGGTACCTTGGTTCTCGAACTTAATCCGTTCCGGGAGTCCGACTCCCGAAATGGTTCAAAAGCCAAGACGTGGCTTCTGATTGGCTGCAGGAGCTTCCAGCACTCAATCAGAAGCCACATAAAGCACATTGGACGTTCGGCTTCCGAAAAACATTCGCAAACCAGAACACTTCTGGGTTTGCGGTGTTGGGGAACCAATTTGTTTGGAAGCCAAGCTGTTCAAGTACCAAGGTACCACTGTACTGAGCAAGACGGTCCAATGTTCTGACTCAGGATAAGGCAGGTTCTTTTGCCCTCTGAAACCATTGGGAGGTGGAATGAAAAAGAAAAGCCAAGTACAAAAAAAGAGGTAAATGTAAAGGTAAATGTAAAATGCAACCCCTCTATCTTGGATGGCTCTAGCCCAGCAGGGTGATGATTCTTCTGCCATAGGATTGCTCTGCCTTTATACTGACTTATAATACCGCAGGGACACGGGTGGCACTGTGGGTTAAACCACAGAGCCTAGGGCTTGCCGATGAGAAGGTCGGTGGTTCGAATTCCTGTGACAGGGTGAGCTCTTGTTGCTCAGTCCCATCTCCTGCCAACCTAGTAGTTCAAAAGCACATCAAAGTGCAAGTAAACAAATAGGTACCGCTCCGGTGGGAAGGTAAACAGTGTTTCCGTTTGCTGTTCTGGTTCGCCAGAAGTGGCTCAGTCATGCTGGACACATGACCCGGAAGCTGTACGCTGGATCCCTCGGACAGTAAAGCAAGATGAGCACTGCAACCCCAGAGTCGGTCACGACTGGACCTAATGGTCAGGGGTCCCTTTAGTTTTACCTTTTATAATCCTGGTATTCATAAATGAAACATACAGGCAGCAACCTGTATATCTGATTGGCATGTGACCACTGATGCACATGCCATTTCTAGCATCGAAAGGGGGTGTAACAAGGGTGGAATGGGGCAGGGCAGGCTTATGTGCACTTCACTGGTGTGATGACCCGGAAGACAACCTCCACACAAATGAAGAGTTGCCTATAATTTGTTTGCTTCCCTTGTGCAGAAGGAGTCTGTAGGGCTCACTGAATAGCCAATGCACTTCCACTTTACCTATTTTACATAAAACGTTTCCTACTGAAGGATATCCCACCACCACCACCTCTGACTACATACAAATTAAAGTTAGCACATTTGTTGGCTCCTGTTTGAAACTCAAAATTAAGCGATTGCACTGTGTAAATAGAAGATATGCTACCAAGGAGACCTGGCTGAATCTCTGAGCTGCCAGCTGCAGCTAAAGAAGTCTAAACACAGTATCAAATTATCCTTGGGGATTTTTGTCTTAAAAAAACAAAAGAACGTCTCCTTAATGGCTTTACAAAAGGTGATTTGCACCATTTGAAACTGTGGGCATCTTTCCCCCACACTCAGGATGTGTAATCCAAATGCAGAGAAGATGAATAGCGAATTGATTGCTGTTGTTAGTGAGGATGGATGAGCAAAGAAAAAAAATTCAGAATCAATAGTTAAAAAACAATAATCCCATAGAACAGGGCATATACTAACAATGGAATTCAAAAAGAGAAATGTCGAAGTTTTCATGGGGGAAGGGGAGAGATTAAGTGCTCAGAATATTCTCAAGATGTGACAGCAATCGAATGTGCTCACCCTTCTCAGTGAAGTGCATTTTATTCATGTCCAGAAAGCAATGATTTCGTCTGCAACATTCGTACAAATTATTTATAATTAAGCACATGGGAACTCATGGGAACAGGATTACTACCATTAGATCCGACTCTCATTGTTACCTATTCATTAGTTTAGATTAAGGAAAACCACATTCTAAATGGGGGGGGGGAATCTGTAAATTTCAGTTTTCAACAGTGTCTGCAAAAATATCTGAGGGTTGTTGTTTTTTTGTTTTACAGAAAGGTCTGCATGGAGATTCATACACATTTCTCCTAACATACACCTTTTATACACAATTATGCCAGTATATGCACAGAGAGTGGCCTGCCAGCCCCTGCAGCTTTATCTTTGGATCTGATCAGGAAATGGCTATGTTCCAGTTTGCATATTGTTTCAGAAACTATAAATGAACTAGGTTCACCTACAAATGAGAATTGAATCAGATTTCTCTCCCATTCCTAGAAGCTTGTCTGGTTACTATTTGCACTGCATGTGTGGTGTGTGTGCACATAGTCTACATGTGTCTTCTATACATGTGTGTACATGGCCAGTAATACATGGCCTTTGAATGGATGTCTTACTGTCAATGCGGCCTTCCTCCCGAAAAATGTGGCCACTTCATTCTAATTAATAGTATATGAATCTGCTCTGGGAGTCTTTTGGCTAAAGAGTGTAGAACAGTGCTATAAATGAACAGGAATAATCAGTTGAGACAAAAATTATTGCCCTACTATTTTTCCAAAGACGTGTAAATTCACCTTGAACTTTCAGAATCTGGTGTGACACAAATTGAAGTGAATTATTAAAATAAAATTATGTTCTGCTCCCTTCTTCCTTCTCCCTATTATTTCAAGGTCAATCCCAGCACTGGACTGCAACAGTCTGTGGCACAGTGGGGCAGTGTGTTTGGCTGCTAACCAGAAGATTGGTGGTTCAAGCCCACACAGGGACAGCTGTGGGCAGGATTTCTGCATTGGAGGGGGTTGGACTACAACACTACAATTATATGATTCTATGATGTAACACTTCACTGCAATGACCAAATAAAAGCAGACATAAAGGAATATCCTTTATGGAAGCTTAAACACACACACATGTGCACACACAGAGGTGGAATGGAGAAACCTCATTGAACAGCACATCAAATCCACGATTTGTTTCTCATAGCAAACCATACATTCATTCATATTCAATTGGCTGAGTCGCATTTCTTGAAGCTGAAAATATAATACTATAGCAGTCAACCCTGGGGGTTAAACTCTCATTACTGTTGCTTAACCTGTGTGGAAAGCAATGCCGGTACAAAAGGTTTCATGAAAATGTGGAGGGCCTTGATTATTATTATTATTATTATTATTATTATTACAGTCCAACCTTGGTTGTCGAACGTAATCCATTCTGGAAGCCTGTTCGGCTTCTGAAATGTTTGACAGCCGGAGCGCAGCTTTCAATTGGCTGCAGGAGCTTCCTGCACTCAAGCGGAAGCCACACTGGATGTTCGGCTTCCGAAAAACGTTTGAAAACCGGAACACTTACTTCCGGATTTTCAGCATTCGGTAGCCGAAATGTACAGTAATGGAGGCATTCGGGAGCCAAGGTTTGATGGTACTCATGAAGCAAAATCTATCTAACTAGCATCTTTATTTCCAATTGGGGGGATCATATAAGTAGTGATAAATGGATCAGTGTCTATTTCCAGTCAGTGTCAAATTTGCATAAATCTGTCCTGTCCTGTATTAATCTGCATTTTTAAAAGTCCTTATAAAAATGTTATTTAAATATTGTTTCATCACGGAATAAACACTTACTTAGTAGTATGCCTTGAACAACTAACAAAGTCATTTTAAGACTTTGTTTTGTTACGGGTTACTGGGAATTTTAAGCCTGTGAGGGGTAAACCATAATGGCCAGAATTATTTGAGGGAAAGAATGTGCTCCAAATGTGTTTTACAGGTGTAGTCTACATGCAGCCCAGATTTCATGTGTTTTAAAATGTTATGCTTTTTCAAACAATTATAACTTGCCTATTCCATTTTTAAAGAAAGCACACTATCCAACAAACAAGGTAGTTAACAAAGCAACACTTCATTATGCATTTAAAATACATAATGATCCCCAAATTGAACATAATTGTAAAAATTCAACAATATTTACATAAGAAACCCAAAACAAAACAAAACAGAATGCCAGAGAAAAAAGAAGCTGAAGGTCTTTCTGAAGAGTCATGTCATGTCTCTACCAGCTTCCTAAAGCAGTACAATGGCAGGGCTTAAAACACCTTGCTTGCCAAAGCATTCCACTGCTACAGAAAATGGGCAGCCCTGATAGTAGTCAGCTGTGTCTCACCAGATTGAAGGATCAGGGGAATTTCCTTAGATAATTATCGAACATGTGAGAAGGAAAAGGTCCTTAGGAAATACAGAAGCCAAACCCATGAGGGCTTTAAAGATAAATACCAGCATATTGATTTGTGCCTGGAAAGTTAGAAGGGGAGAGAGAGGGAGAGAGACACCACATGCAATTTGGGAATTCTTGAGTGAAAGGAGTGTAGACTCCATTCTAACATTTAAATAAAAGTTTAAGAAAGGTTGCAATCTTTAATTGAGTGTTAGATTAATCATTTTAAAACTTTATCATCAAATGAATTAATTAGTCAGTAGACTTAAAAAAATACTTTGAAACAATTGCTTATAAAACTGCCTATGAGAGTATTTAACCCCCTTTTCTCTCTTTCATAACAAATAATATCTCTTCTAAGGTGATGCACACTTCTATGATATGTGAAATAGATAGATAGATTCAGATCAACAGATTCAGATCAATAATCAACTAAAACCTATAAGGTGATATTCAATGGTGACTGTCCACTGATGGAATCAGTAGTAAAGGGGAAAGACAATTTCCAGTGATCCTTATGTACTGCCTGTCTTAATCTGTTGCAGAGGATAGGAACCCTTCTGAGAAAAAAATAAAGGAGGGTATCAGGTACTGCAGGAGAATTGCCAAAAATTACCTCCATCTCTATTCCACCAACAGTTTTAGTGGTAAGTCACCTTAGACATCACCCACACAATTAATCAATAGAATTTTCTTTAATCAAGTTGCTGCCCCAATTCAAAAAACATTTGAAAATGACTTCAGTTTTTTGGCATAATTCTGATTGTTAAATTTGTCCCAATTGTGACCATCTTGTTTTACATCTTCTCCAAAGTGAACACATTTTCCCCCTTTCACATCTATTGCCATGTATTTCATGCAGGATTTTCTTCAACAAAAGAAAAGGAACATTTTACTTCCCTTCTGCCTTTGTGCACTTGGGTGAATTGAGCTAGCCTTGATCTACAGATTTAGAGACGAGACTGTCAATTGACCTAGTCTTCAATTACAAACTAATATAATGTATATCCAAACACATCACTGCAATTTAATAAGCGGCTCTTTGGGATTAGGCAATTCCAATTTGCTTTCATTTCAAATTCTGTGCAAGCACATCATTACAAATTTGATATTACCCTCACCAAATTAGGTCTTTTCGGAAGCACTGATCCATACAATTACAAAGGGACAGCAGTACTTCATTAGACTAACCTCGCATCAAGCTCTCACAAATTTACCTGATCAATAAGAGGATGGAAACAAAGAAAAGTAAGTCTTGGCAATATAATACTTGATCTGCACTTAATTATCTTGACCCCCCCTTTAAAAAAAACAACCCCCCAAAAAACAGCAGTGTCTACCACAACAGCTCCTCCACTTCTCCATCTGTTTACTCTCGACATAAAATCTATCAATGTCTTGACTCCTGGGTGTTCATCACTTCATCACTGTTTACAGCTCACATTAAAGCAGCAGATTTCAACCTGTGGGTCCCCAGATGTTGTTGGACTACAACTCCCATCATCCCTAGCTAGCAAAGCCAGAGTTCAGGGATGATGGGAGTTGTAGTCCAACAACATCTGGGGACCCACAGGTTGAGAACATTATAGAAATGAGAGCATTACAGAATTACAGTTGCAGCAACGTTTCTGAACAATGGCCAGCTCTTGCCTTCTCTATCTAAGTATAGATGTCCGCAGATACTTTCACTCAGAAGCTAGTACTCCTTCTTTTTACACATGGATTGTCCAACATCTTCTCCATGGATAGATTCAGGCACTTCTAAATATACAATGTACAACTTTAAGGCTTATCACACAATAGCTGTACTGTAACTATACAGCTTTTAGCTCCTACACTCCTTCAGCCAAGTAGAAATCTGAGAACACAGTGATATTCTTTACCTTGGGTCAAGGATTGGATTCCTATCTCTTCAAACTAGTACCCTTATCTAATCTAAAAACCAAAATAAAATCATCCCAGGGACCAATGTAGCACAACTTGCAGAGGGGTAGGGGTGTCAATCTGTTGTAGTAACAACACAACGGAAATCCATCTAGCTGACAGAAATTTTGAATGTGGGAAGGCACCTGGAAACTTCCATTCTGGAGCAAAATATCAAGCAGAATCATAGAAATGTAGAATTGTAAGGGACACCAAGGGTCATCTAGTCCAACCCTCTGAAATACAGGAATCACTGTTAAAGAATCCCTGATAGATGGCTATCCCAACTCTGTTTAAAAACTGTCAACTGTCCATCACCTTCCAAGGAAGTTCATTTCACTATGGACCAGCTCTGACCATCTGAAAGTTCTTCCTAATGCTTAGGGATGTTCAGAATTTCATTTCTTGTAGTTTGAATCCTTTGGTTCAGGGCCTACCCTCTGGAGCAGCAAAAAACAAGCTTCCTTCATCTTCCATATGACAGCCCTTCAGATATCTGAAGATGGCTGTACCATAACTTCAGTCTGTGTCTCAAAGCCACGCCAATATCTCTCTCTCTCTCTCTCTCTCTCTCTCTCTCTCTCTCTCTCTCATATGCGTGATTTTAAATGAATGGAGATTACACATTGTGGAAGTTTACCTCTGGACAGTATTTCAGGGTTCTTTTCTGCACATATTTGATAAATATCAGTAACATTAATAATAAATACACATTGTTATTTGTTGGGAATATTTTGAAATTTCAATTCTAAAATTATCCTCAATGTTTCTAAACTGCATCTTCATCTAAAACATGGATTCCAGGATGATGTCCATAAAAATCAAAGATCAATACAATATTTAAAATGTATTTTAAAAAGTAAAGCAACTTAATAAAATCTGGTACTCTAATTATGATCAGAAAGTAGTTCCTGTTCATGTTCATGAAATTTGTTGGGGGGGGTGAGTTTCCCCCCTCTTAAATGTTTTAATATTGGACTCATTGGTCCACTGTCAGAGCTCTGTGTCCTGCGCAGGTGCTGAAGACAATACACATGTGTACACACAAGCTTCATTAGCTGGCACTTACCTTTCACTATTAATTCTGCATAGTTTGAAACTCCTGATCCACCATCTGAGCGGATGACACATCGGTATTTACTGATGCTGCGCTGAGAAGTGTCAGCTACGCTGACCGTAGCAGAAAAGCGTCTATGGTTGACGACTCTGGTGACCATTAAAGCTGTGTCTCTGCCATTCCACTGCTGCCAAATCAACCAGAGGGGAGGGGAGAGAGAAAATATGATATGATAATGCAAGAAGGTCATTTAATTCATTTATGATTCAGTCTTCATCGTTTTTTTATTCATACACAAAATTCAGGGAAATCGTCCCCTAAATAATTTTCTACTGAGAAAATAGCAAAGCTCAATAGTTCTATTGAGACATGCAGCCCTTGTCTTAAAGGGTTTTGTACCCAAAAAAAGCCACTATAAACCAATGCTGCCATAACAGACAGTTCGTTTACAAAAACCAGAATAGTTTCTATCCCCACCCCACTCCATTAATGGGATCTTTCAATCAGCTCGTGAAAACATTGAATGAAAACTCTAACACGCTCTTTGCTGACATAAAGAGGGGCTGTAATAGCAT